TATATATGAAGAGTTCAGATGCAAAAGCTCTAAGTGCCGTCTGAAATTTTCTTCTAAAATGAGCATTTTTATCAGGCTCCTGTATTTATGTTCAGTTATTTCACTTTAATTGCATAGAAAAGGACCTATACATTGCAATTAGAGTAACAGTACTGAACCTAAACATAGGAGCCTGATGAAAATGCAAATTTTAGATGAAATTTCAGATGGCATTTAGAGGCTTTTGCATCTGAACTCTTCATATATTAACTATATTAAACATAAAACTTTAGTATATATTGTATTATAACTTCTTCAGCTATAAAGCACACAGATGCTCCAGAGCAAACAACTATCAAAAAGCTGGCTCTTGTAACTGAGGGATGGGACTTCCATTTAGCAGTGAGATTTCATTTTTTCATGAGTGGTCTATCTCTTCCTCCTTATACCGTCTGTAGTGAAATTCATACCTCTAGTATAAATTTTACATTAGCATCTCTCATCTGTCAAACAGCTAAGCGAGCAGCATCGGAATGACTCATCAGATTAGTTTAATCAATGACAGCATGTTTGTCCAAAAATCCTGTCTAGTGTGACCAGGGAGGAGCTAATTATGGATGAAGCATGTCAGTGTTTCTGAGGAAGCGGGGCTGCAGTCAGCTACATGGTGGATCAACACTAATGGAGGTTTTATGACTGACAGGCAAACACTGATTTATTTGATTCATTTAATTCAATCTTTCTGAAACTCAAAGTCATACTGTCACGGTGTGTGGAGGCAGGCAGGACGACGAGGACGACAAGGATTCCAATAATGACTTTTAATGTAGACACAACAAGGCAGATTCAGGAAGGTGAGACGCACACACTCGGGGTAAAATTCACAATAACCGACCAACCAGAATACCAGAGACAGGAACTAATATAGGACAGATAACGAGGGGCAGACAGGTGAGCACAATGAGGTGATTAACTAATAATCAGTACAGGCTAAACCAACAAAAGGGGAAGAAACCACAATAAACAGTCTACAGGGGCGTTACACATACAGCCGTGTGAGATGTTCTTCCAGTAGTTTTCAGCTGGTGGGTGTGGACAACAGAAAAAAAATATATATATATAATAAAATGCAATTAACCGTATAATGAACCGTTTTTAGGCTACCAAAATAAATATACCAAATATACCATAAAAAAGAACAAAACCAGACTAAGTAAAAAAAAGTATTTTGAATTGGGGATCAGGAGCCCTTCCTGGGCTAAACGAGGAATCAGGAGCCCTTCCTAGGCTCGACAGGGGATCGAGAGCCATGCCGAGGCTCGACAGGGGATCGGGAGCCATTCCGAGGCTCGACAGGGGATCAGGAGCCATTCCTAGGCTCGACAGGGGATCGGGAGCCCTTCCTGGGCTAAACTGAGGATTCCGGTGTCTCTCCTCCTCATTTTGACACCGACTTCCCTCCATATTCAGGCTCTCATGGTGGGCACTGTCACCGGCTCTCGCACCTGGTCTGACGTGTTGGGGTCACTATCCAAGGCGATCCTCTTCTCAGCCACGGGGCTTCGCTCCAGCTTGTGGATCACGGCGGGAAATGGCTCTCCGTTATTGGTGGGCTCAGGCATATGCTCCGTACCGTGGGGAGATGGTGGGCTGGGCTCAGGGGACTGAGGTCCAAGGTAGAGCTGGTGGGAGGAAGGAGCCCAACGAAGCCGGTGGGACAGAGCGATGAGGTGCAGCCAGAGGAGTGGAGTCCAGAGGCGATGGCGGGTCGACGCCCGACCAAGGTGGAGC